GGGAATGATATCGTTTTTGTAAAATATGCAGGGATTTATGATATGTAAAATGAGCCATGGAAAGAGAAGGGAAGTCACTGACATAAGGATGTAAAATGAGTATTTTAAATTGTAAAACAGAAAGCTTAATAAAATTATATACAAAAAAACCCAACATTTCGCGTGTTGTTGTTGTTGGTTTGCATTGTTTCCCCCCCAATTTATTTTTAAATTAATTTTCCAAATTATTAAAAATCAAACCAAATTACATCATTTAAATATTTTTTTAAAAAATCCGGTTCCAAACATATGACCATCCTCTCCTCTCATAACCACATCATTTCTTATTTAGAGTCCAGTTGACATCCTTCACTTGCTGTTAAACCATTCTTCCAGCTAGCTGCTTTTTTCACCTTACAGACAGCACCTCCGTTAAAGGTAAAGGTAAAGGGACCCCTGACCATTAGGTCCAGTCGTGACCGACTCTGGGGTTGCGGCGCTCATCTCGCTTTATTGGCCAAGGGAGCCAGCGTACAGCTTCCGGGTCATGTGGCCAGCATGACTAAGCCGCTTCTGGCGAACCAGAACAGCGCACAGAAATGCCGTTTACCTTCCCGCTGGGGAAGTATTTATCTACTTGCACTTTGACGTGCTTTTGAACTGCTAGGTTGGCACCTCCGTTACATGTTATAAACAATACTTTTCACGTGTGTAGTCCTTCATATACATCATATACAGAGGTAATTGCTATCTTCCATTGTTCAGTTCTTTGCAGTCTTTTTCTGGATGGTACAAGGTCACATTCGATTCCTCCCGCTGTTTACAGACTGGCGTATGAGCTGCAGCTGTAAATAACTGACAGAGTGAATATCCAAACTCCACCATGAAAATTCCGCTCTGGAGTTCTTCCTCAGCACACAGTTAAAAACAAGATCTTTTCTCAAATTCAGCCTCTTTGCCAGATCTGTTCTGTTCCAGATCAGCAGCAGTTCATACTTTTTAAACAGTATTTCTCCAACAGCACTCCTAGTCCAGCCCAGGAATAATTTTAAATAAAGTCCATTCAGCCTCAGTCAAAGGGGGAGGGCATAGTAAAACCTTGTTAAATTCATTGTTGAGCATAAATCAAAAGCCTTCCCTCTCTTCTCCGAAGTAAGAAACAGAATAACAGGAGAGGACAGGGAAAAAGGGAGACCATTTGAAAACCACAAGAAAGCACAAAGCACCTTCTCCTTCCCCTTCCTTTCCTGTCTATTGTACGGATTCTCAAGCTTCAAGGAAAACATTCAGATACCTTCAAGGAGCCAAGCCCAGTCCTATCGGCAGCTGACTGATTGCAGCCCATTAGCATATGTTGGTTCAGGAGCGCCTCTTGATTAATGCCAATTGTCCAAATTATGGAGCAACCAACCACAAATCATGCCAGAGACGGAAGCTCGTCCATGGGAGGGACACACTCCCAGGTCACACCTGCTCTGCCTTTCAAGTTGGCAGACACGGGCTTGAGCGACACAGTGGGATGCAGTGAGCTCCCCAGACCCCACTCAGGCACCTGCAGGCCTATTTCACCAGCTCATAGGCTAATTTCCCAAGGCCTCTTCCTTCACTGGCCCTACTCTGCACCCTCCTATATTTCCCTTTCCAGGCTGGAATGCATCCTTAAAGTGTGATCCAACATCCTCCTTGCCTTATAGTGCTGTACACAACTCTGATATTTTGCAAGAAAGCTGCAAATAAGTCTTTTAAAATCAACACATAATATGGAGTCCTGGTATAGGGTTGTTTTCAAACCACATTTGCAGTTCTATACCTACTTTGTTCACCTTTGATGGTGGGTGCAGTATCATCTTCTACATTACCAATGTTTTGGGTATGAATGCCAATAATTATTTACGCAAAATGTTGTCTCCCATGAACATGAGGGAGCTATTGACCAGCTTGTGGAAAATCCAGCTCTTCCAGGAATCTACATCTTTTTGTGTGTGGAAGGGAAACTAAGGGGACGGACGGACATAAACCCTAAAAGAACCTAAGAGAGAGAAAACTGAGAGAGAGCATGCTCAGTTTTCACAGACTACTGAGTAATTTGTTGGTGGCAGGAGAGAAAAGATTAGGTGGAATGGAGTATTCTAGTAGAGCACATGTCATAGCTAGGTTACTAGAATACTCCATTCCATTCATTTCTTGGAAAATCTTTCCCTTGTGTCTTGTTAATTGCTATGTCAAAAGTTTCAGGCCCAAGTGGCTGAAGGTAAAGGTAAAGAATTGTTAATGAGCTGAGGGACCAGAGATACAAAAGGAATTGGAGCAGATCCAGTGTGGGAACTCACAGTCTTTATTAACTTAATGAATCACCATGCCTTTGTAAAATGGCAGGGAGAAATCATTCACCACTGCTGTCTCTGTTTTAAAGCTGAGAAGAGTTAGGTAGTGGAATAAGCTAGGCTGTGATTAACCCTCATTTTGGAAGACTTTCAAAACTTGTTGGGGCAGCACCCAAGAAAAGCACTGAGCATATTTATATTCTTTCCACCATAATTGATTAAGCTGTCTCAATTGCTTGCCTCAGGAGAAGCTGGATTTTTGCAGGGTTGAATGACTGATTGGCCAGGTCCTTGAGCTGGCTAGTAAGCCATCTCATGTTCCCCACATTTCTCCACTTCCCCAAGACAATGTAAATGTGCAAATGAGAGGTGGGGGGAATCTTTATCTCTAAAGTGCCAAATGAACATTTAGTCAGATAACCATAACAATCACTTGTGTGCATAGAGAGAAGACTATTGGAAGTATATCAGAGAAGAGACGCAAGCAGCTGCCGTTCCAGAATCTGTGTTTCTGTAAAAGAGAGAAGGCAGGGAGAGGCAGATCTTACTCCAAAGCAAGAGCCCTTTCACTGGCTCTCGTTCGCCTGCATGCAGCCCCAGCTGAGTAAGATTGTCTTCCGTAAACACGGTTTTAACAATGAGTCCCTAAGTGACTGTGGAGGCCAATTCTGGATCCATATGTCCTTCCACAGTGGGGACATTGGTTTCCAGGTGGGAGTTGATCACGGTGTGGATTTGCCAAGTGTACCTTCCTCTTGGCATGTTTCTCCCTTGCTTCCTGAGTTTGAGTGTCTTCAAAGCCCATTAACCACCATTCATCCTCCAACCACCTACAGACACTCACATAGGACATTCATTGGTTCTGTTTTAAAGGAGAGGTAGAACTGGGTATCATGTGTAAAAGAGAGAAGGCAGAGAGAGGCAGATCTTACTCCAAAGCAAGAATCCTTTCACTGGCTCTCGTTTCTTTGTTCGTCTTCATGCAGCCTCTGCGAGGGAAACCAGAAGCTGCATGCAGCTTTCCTATGAAGCCACCAGTATTACAGTGAACTTCCTTGCTGGTTTTTTTTGCAGCCCTCAAGAGAAAACTTTTCAGCTTTTATATGCCTTAAGAAAACACTGCTGCAAGAGAAATTTCTTAACAGCTGCTGGTGAACCCTGTGCAGCATACAAAGGTCAGATAATATTGAGTAATTTGTAAGTCAATTGGTGGTTGGGTATGGAGGAAACCCCTAACGTTTGTGGGCACTATCCATTCTTGAAAAGTTACTCTGCTGTATGCAGAGAATTATATGTAGTTTTGGGTCTGTAGTTTCTTCTTTAAAGGGGTTCCTCTTTCTTTTTTATTTCTTTTTTAAATTTCTCAAAGGCCTCACTCTGAAATTCATTTATGCTGTGTTTGGGAGAACAGCAGCCATGAAGACTGGTCAGTTAGTTGAGTATTTCTATTGTTTTATTCTTCCTCCCCCTTGGTTAGTCTTAATGTTGTCCTTGTAAAACTTATCTAAGAGGAGGTTGGGGACAAAACTCGAATCAGTTGGTCTCCTATTCCTGGTGCCCCTGCCTTCTACCTTATTAGACCAAATCACCACTACTATGAATGAGAAACCATTTTCTTTCCACTCATACCCTTCCACATAGCCCAAATAGACCCTCAAAGAAAATAAATAAATAAATAAATAAATCCCAGGGCAGTTCTTGCAACCATATACCACAAAAAATAATGAATGCACAGAACTAAACTCAACATATCAGCGGGGGGTTGATGTCACTAAACAAGATGGTGTCCCAGCACTATGATTCCTGTAACACAGGAACCCCCCAAACTCAGCCCTCCAGATGTTTTGGGACTACAACTCCCATCATCCCTAGCTAACCGGACCAGTGGTCAGGGATGATGGGAATTGTAATCCCAAAACATTGGGGATGCCTGCTCTAACATAGAAAAGGTAAAGGTACCCCTGCCCGTACGGGCCAGTCTTGACAGACTCTAGGGTTGTGCGCTCATCTCACTCTAGAGGCCGGGAGCCAGCGCTGTCCGCAGACACTTCCGGGTCACGTGGCCAGCGTGATGAAGCTGCTCTGGTGAGCCAGCACCAGAGCAGCACACGGAAACGCCGTTTACCTTCCCGCTAGAAAGCGGTACCTATTTATCTACTTGCACTTAAGGGTGCTTTCGAACTGCTAGGTGGGCAGGAGCTGGGACCGAATGACGGGAGCTCACCCCGCCGCGGGGATTCGAACTGCCGACCATGCGATCGGCAAGTCCTAGGCGCTGAGGTTTTACCCACAGCACCACCCGCTCTAACATAAATAAGTAAATAAAACCATGAACATCAAGAAATATATACATTCATATAAATTTATATAGCATTTATTGTAAGAAAACCCAAAGTGGTTTACCAAAAAAAATAAAACAATAAAATTATCTATACTTCAATAGATTGTTAAATAAAAGAATAAACAAGCTGTTCTCACAATCACAATGACTCAAAGACATGCAGTAGTGAAGGGAAATTTCAATTAATGGGAAACTAAAGACACTTGCTGGGATTTTTTAAAAAATGAAATTGAGGCTCATGGTTGTTCATGGTTTGACCCCAGTCTTGTAGGGCCCCAAACAAGGCTATACTTATGGTTTTCAGATAATTTCTCTGGTCTCCCCTGTCGCCCTTTCTCTGCAGGAAGGAGATGAGGATGGGGGAAGAAAACGTCACTTTTGTGAAAGAGTTTATATTGGTGGGATTCTCCAGTGATCGAAGGACACAGATTCTTCTCTTTGTGGTAGTCCTCATCATATACTCCCTGACCATTGTGGGGAACCTGTTGATCATCATGCTTGTGTGGGTTGAGTCTTCACTTCACATACCAATGTACTTCTTCTTGAGCAACTTAGCAGGCCTAGAGATCTGCTATGTCACCACCACCTTGCCTCAAACGATGGCAAGCCTCGTGTCTGGCAATGGAGCCATCTCCTTCACCCGTTGTATGGCACAGATGTACATCACACTGTCCCTTGGATCCTGTGAATGCCTTCTTCTAGGTGTAATGGCCTATGATCGCTACCTAGCTATCTGTCATCCTCTAATATATACTAGTGTCATGGGCTGGTGGCGACAATTTCTGCTTGCCTCAGTCACTTGGGTTGGTGGCTTCCTCCTTGGTTCTCTAATGGTTGGCAGTGCCACTTCTCTCTACTTCTGTGGCCTGAACCGTATTGACCACTTCATCTGTGAGATGGCAATGGTGATTAAACTTTCATGCACTGACACCTACATTACAGAGGCCGCCATCTTTTTGGCAGCTTCACTTGGGGTCCTACTTCCTCTTTCAATTATCATGACCTCCTATGGGTTTGTTATCTCCTCAGTATTGAAAATGAGGTCAACTGCTGGATGGCGCAAGGCCTTCTCCACGTGTGGCTCCCATCTGATTGTGGTCACCTTGTTCTATGGCACTGTCATCTCTATGTACTTGATTCCCCGGTCGGGTTCAACTTCTGATCGTGACAAGAAAATTGCCATTTTCTACCTTGTAGTCACCCCTTTACTCAACCCTATCATTTATACTCTTCGGAACAAGGATATCCATGATGCAATAGCCAAGGTGTTGCAAAGACTGGACATTAAGCAAAAGAGTTGATCATTGCCTTCTAGTATGAATAATATGGAAATGTTGCTTGAGCATCAGGTTTTGGCACAGGAGATACATATCTCCTGGGACATGGAGCTGTTTCTGGAGCAGCAGCTTCTAAGAGAGTTGTAGAGCAAGTTTATGCCATTGATTTATTTATTTTATGCCCAATTTTTCCTCCAAAGAAGTCAAGGTGGCATAGATGGTTCTTTCATTCCCCATTCAGAACAACCCAGCGTCCTCTGCAGAGCACCATATTGTCTTCCCATGCCCTAAAGGACCAACCCAAGAAAACTCTAGATAGCATGGAACTCTTAGGCCAAGAAAAATCAAGGAGAACTGAACAGCTTCTGTCCTCAGTGCCAGCTCCTCGACTTGCTAGTCCTTTCACGGGTCATTGTTCACAGCCAAATCTTGATAACTTCTCTCTTTTCTGGAGCCAACACTGCTGCTGGGGAGATCTGAGCACCAAAGCCTCATGGAAGGGAGACAGGGATGCTGGGAATTCCCACCAGATCCTCCTTCTGACTTCAATATTTTTCTCCCCCCCTACAACGAAAATAATTTTCTCTTTATTGGAACACCAAAGCCAAGGTACAGTAGCCAAGATAGAGGGCTGTTTTCAGATTTCATTTGCAATGATATACCCACTCAGGGCTTACCCACACTTCTGCATGTCCCATGCCTACAAAGCAAAGGTTTGGAGAGTTATTAAGGCATGCTTTAATATCTTGTTTGTGACCCATCACATCCCAGGCCTGCAGAATTGCATTGCTGATGCCCTCCCCTGGTTCCTGATGGAGCTATTCTGGGAGCTGGAACCCAGTGGATTCTGTGCATTCTGTGGAACTTTGGAATTTGACATCCCATTATGCCATCACTTCTGCCCTAGTGGGTTTAGGGCACTAGGCAATCTTACTAGCAGCACCTGCAGAAATTCAAGGATTTTAGGGCCAAGCTACATCTTCCCTTCACAGTGGTGAAGTTAGCAATTGAATTTAGGTGTGCATCTTAACTTTTGTCTCTTCAAAGGAGAGATGAGGTATAGACATTGCTCCCTTTTGGTACCAACTCAGTCTTCTCTTAAAAAAATAACCTCACGCTTGTATTCCCAGGTAATTAAACATATTTGCTTCAACTCTAAAATTGAATACACATGATTATATTGCCTTATTTTTGTATTCCCTTGTCAGGTGATATATTCTGTATGTGACTGATTAACCTTATTTCCCCCCTCTTCTGTAACCCTGAACTATATTGGCTTAAGTAAAGAAATGCATTGGCTAAAAATAAGAGACTGAGACTCTTTGCTAAACCCTAAATATTATGTGTACGGATATGGAGGGTGACCATAGACACCCCCCCTCAACATGGTACATGATTCTGGGATAATCTAAGATGCTACATCAACCATTGAACCAAAGGTTTGATACATAAAAGGTCCTCTTAAAGTTTTACCTGGAAAAGGACAATATTAGTCACAGATGCCATGCCAGATAGGACATTGTGGATGGAGCTTAAGAAAATAGTTTGACCCTCCCAAAGGGAGAATTTCAACTATAAGTGCTTGCATAGAAAGGGAATTTATAGAGAACAGAAATAGCTCAGAATATTAATAAAAGATTTGTTTTTGGAGAGCAGCACTGACAAGGAGAATGTCATATTTCTGAAGGCATCTGGGGAGATTGAGGGATGTGGGTGGAGCTGTGGTCTAAACCACTGAGTCTTGCCAATCAGAAGGTTGGCGGTTCGAATCCTCGCAACGGGGTGAGCTCCCGTTGCTCGGTCCCAGCTCCTGCCAACCTAGCAGTTCGAAAGCACGTCAAAGTGCAAGTAGATAAATAGGTACCGCTCCAGTGGGAAGGTAAACAGCATTTCCATGCGCTGCTCTGGTTTCACTTAGTCATGCTGGCCAGATGACCCAGAAAAAAACTGCCTGCGGACAAACACCGGCTCCCTCAGCCTGTAAAGCGAGATGAGCGCCGCAACCCCAGAGTCATTCGTGGCTGGACTTAACTGTCAGGGGTGCCTTTACCTTTACCTTTAGGGGGATTGGGTTGAAGGAGAATGCTTACACAGTGGCAGAATCTACCTTCACAGATGCTTTAGGAGGAATTCTGGACCCTCCTAAATTAGAAGTGGGTGAATGTGAAGGCAGGTCAGGTACTCATGCCATCCTTGTCTGGCACAAATGCTTGCAAGGCCGACAGGGAGCTATAGCTGGTAGCAGCAGCTCATAATGGAACATGCTCCCACAATGGTTTTAAAGGAGGATTGGACAGATTCATAGAGGATAAGGATATCAATGTCTGTATTACATCTCCATTGTCAGAGTCACTGTTCCTCTGGATACCAGTTGCTTGGGAACTGCAAGTGGGCACAGCATAATTGATAAATCTGGACTGGGCCTGGCCTGGTGTGCACCCATTCCAGTTCACCCCAGAGCCAAATCCGGATTGCAACCTGCAAACTAAAAATTTCTGAAAATGTCCCCTTTCTGTAATTCTGGTGAGCAGTTGCTACTCAGCATAGGCGACCCTGAGCTAGTTGGGCCAATAATCTGACTCAGTATAAGGCAACTTCCCAAGAGCATACCATGCGCCCTGAATGCTAAGGAAAACATGAAACCCACAGAGACGAATTCAAATATACTCAGTTTGCATACATTCAGATAAGAGAATGTGAGATGTGCTTATTTGTTTTTATTACAATGCATACAATTCTGATTCAAAGTCAGCATAGAATTATTCTTCCATATCTGTGGTATGTTAAGAACATGAAGCCCCATGAGGTTCAGGAAATAAACACCTATTAATGGCTGAAGAGAAAAGGCACTAAGGGAGTCCCTGTGGAGTAGATGCACTGTCCTCATTATCATAATGAATAGCAAGCAAGGGGAAAAGAATGCAAAATGTCATAGGGAGAATACAAATACTGGTGTGCTGTCCAATTTCTATTGTTGGGAATAGGCAGTTGAGCAAGCCAGGTTGTGTTGAGCCCCATCTTAGTAGGCATTAAAACTAGGTTGGAGGTTCATCAAGTGTCTGGCCAGGTACTTGAAGAAGCATATCAGAAGGAGAGCAAGATTTTTTCTGTGGTCTATCTGTGGTCCATCTCCAGTTAAAGGATCCCAGTTCACAGGACAGAGAAGGACAACCACCTTATGACCTGCCAACATAACATATAACTTTTTCTTTAGGATGGGAGGCAGGGAAAACATGCATTTTCCTGTTTGAGGTGAATCTAGATGTTCATAGCACTGATTGTTTGGACCTTGTGTCAGTCCTAGACTAACCTGCCCCACTTGCTCAGAGCAGGGAGGCACAGCACTGATTGGCTGGGCCATGTGTTGATCAATTTCCCTCACAACCAATTTGATTTCAGAAAGGTTAGCAGAAGCAAACTGCAAGTAAACCACAAGGCATTAGACTACCGAGTGCCCTGCAACAGGCAGTCTTTCCAAGCAGCACAGAGCTGCCTTCCCTCAGCAGAAGCCCCTTAAGGAGAGATGCAGCAAGTTCCTCCTTGAGATTACTGACAATTCCTTTGATTGTTCAACGTCTCACGCTAAGACAGCTGACTGGAACCCCCTCAGCTATCATTTACAGTTGCACATACCAGTGACATGGATAACTATTTGGGGGTTGCTGAAAAACAACAAAGAGAAGAGCAGTGGTAAGATCGTGTTCTTCAATTTGGAAATGGGATTTGTGTGTGTGTGTGTGTGTGTGTGTGTGAATGCAGCCTATGTTCTTATTTTAATGGATATTGTGAAGATGGGCTACATACATACAATGGTGGTCTCCCTTAAAACATCTATTTTATCCCAGTAAACTATGATCTCCAGGGGTGCCAACTGGAATAAAATATTGGGGAGGGGAGGTAAGCTCTACCCTTCATAATTCATCACATGACGTTGTGTATACACACTATTTGAATCAACTTAGGGTAGGCATAGGCAAACTCGGCCCTCCAGATGTTTTGGGACTACAACTCCCATCATCCCTAGCTAAAAGGACCAGTGGTCAGGGTTGATGGGAGTTGTAGTCCCAAAACATCTGGAGGACCGAGTTTGCCTATGACTGACTTAGGGGGTCCCAGTCCCCTCAAATATTTTATTGGGGGAGCCGAATGGGCCTCGGCCCCTAGGAGTTGGCGCCTATGATTTATTTTTTTAATGAATTTATATACTGCCCTATACCTGGAGGTCTCAGGGCTATTCACAGGACAAAATCAAAATATAAACCACAAAAACTCTGATGTGACACCATGGTTTGAACTTATTTGCCAACTATGGCCTGTATGACTCAATGATAAGCAGTGTGTGTTACCTGGTAGCCTTTCTTATTTGAAAGTGACACACAAATGGAGTGAATATCTCTCTATTCATGTCCTGTGGGAAGCTTTTCATCAGTTTGGAATGAGACAATTGTGCACTTGCACTCTTGGATTAGCTTGTTCTGGGATCAATCCGATATTGCGATGAGTGGAACACAGCTTGTTTGAGACATCCCCCGTTTCCTGAGTGTGCTGCTGCTCTTTCACTGTTTCCCTTTCTCTGCAGGGAAGAGGTCAGAATAGGTGATGAGAACTTGACCTCTGTCAAATATTTTATATTGATGGGATTCACCAATGACCGAAGGACACAGATTCTACTCTTTGTGGTCATCTTCATCATCTACTCCCTCACCATTATGGGGAACCTGGTGATCATTATGCTTGTGTGGGCCGACTCTTCCCTCCACACGCCCATGTACTTCTTCCTGACAAACCTTTCGGGCCTGGAGATCTGTTATGTCACCACCACGTTGCCCCAGATGCTGGCTCACCTCCTGTCTGGCAATGGTGCCATCTCCTTCATATGCTGTATGACACAGATGTACATCACATTGGCCCTGGGTGGGACTGAATGTCTTCTTCTCAGTGCCATGGCCTATGACCGCTGCTTAGCTATCTGCCATCCTCTATTATATGTCAGTATCATGGGCTGGGGGCGTCAAGTCCTGCTTGCCTCGCTCTGTTGGGCAGGTGGCTTCCTCCTTGCTTCGATAAACGTGGGGAGCACCCTTGGCCTCCCCTTCTGCCATGCCAACCACATCAACCACTTCTTTTGTGAGCTGCCAGTGGTGTTGAAACTTTCATGTGCCAACACACACCTCACAGAGGCTTTCATATTCTTGGCATCAGTAGCATTGCTATTAATTCCTCTGACAATTATCCTTATATCCTATGGGCTTGTTCTCTCCTCAGTATTGCAAATGAGATCCACCACTGGACTGCGCAAGGCCCTCTCCACATGTGGCTCCCACCTGATCGTGGTCACCTTGTTCTATAGCACCGTCATCTCTATGTACATGATTCCACGGTCGGGTTCAGCTTCTGATCGTGACAAGAAAATTGCTGTCTTTTACATTGTGGTCACCCCTTTGCTTAATCCTATCATTTATACTCTGCGGAACAAGGATATTCATGGTGCAACAGCCAAGGCGCTGAGAAGACTGGCCATTTTGAAAAAGAGTTGAGAGTTGCCTACTCGTGTGAATACTGTGCAAATGTTGCTCAAACTTCATGATTTTTTGCATTGTCTGCAAAAAGTTACTTTTTTGTCTATGACGAAGAGCTGCTTCTGGTTCACGAACAGGCAAGAGAGTTCTAAAACAAGTTTATATAACTTTTTAAATTATATTTCTACCCTGACTTTCCTCCAAAGAATACAAGGTTTCATATTGCATAATACAAGAATATTTAATGTTTTTGATAATATATTAGGAAAGATCACAATAAAATAAGGTGGGGGGAGGGGAGGAAAAAAGAGGGAAAAGAAAAATACTGTTATCATTCGTTTTCTAATGAAGTTCAATAAATTGAGTGTAGCATGCAATCTCAAAGCCTCCCAGCAATGCATATGGATTTATATTTTCCTGCACCTTACTACCCCAATGTAATGATTATAGGGGTTGCTCGTGCGTAAGTTGCCGCCACTCCTGGCTAGTGTGCCTGGTTAAGCCTTTTCTGTCTGGACAGCCCTTCACTTCGTGGCTGTTTCAGTCGCTAGCAGAATCCATCAGTGGGCGTTTCTTAAACCTTTTCCAGCATAAAAGCTGTTTGACGCCAAGTCTCCTCCTACTCTCTCTGCGCGGAAGTCTTCTGCGCAGGGAGGGCGTGGGTAGCGGAGGACCCGTGCTCTCCCTGCTGGTCTCCGGCGAGGAGTCCTGGAGCCCCCTCGCCGATTCCCCCATCTGCCCCGCTTTATCCCTGGTGTTACGCTGATTTCCTTCCCCAGCTGATGAGCTGCCTCTCTCCCTGCTGGGCCCTTCTCCAGCATCACTTGGGAGCCTTGCCTCCACCTCTGGCTCTGATGTCAGTTCCCTGACACCCAATATACAATAATAATAATAATTTTTTTCAACAAACTGATCATAATCCTGTCTGCCTTCTCTCACTTGAATCATATTGGTCAATTGGTCACATACTTTATTTAGCCAGTTGTCTCCTGTATGAAACACTGGAGATTTTTCTAGTTACAGGTGAATGTTGTGTGAGTTGCACTCATTAAGTAAAGAGGCATCTACCTGCCACCCATTAAAACTGAATCTTTGACACAGACTAGCAAAAGAGTTAACAAGCTGACTTCAGTCTTGTGGTTCAGTGGAGTGAAGTAGGGGAATCAGCAAAGGAGGGAGATTTCAGGATGTGGCTGGGGGGACAGTAGGTAAGAAGTTCATAAGTACAGCAGAAGACTAGAGTACAGCATTGGTGACCCACATGCATGGGCGATGGATGAGGCCCTCCAAGGAGCTATTGGTTTTCTTGAAAAGCTGGGAAAACCCAGCTTTTGCGTGCTCAGACCCAGAGACCTCCCCCCTAAATAAATTCACGATGGTGGTGCAGCTGGGCGAGAACGATTTGCCGGAAGCTCCCACTTGAGCCTGCGGACCCGCAGGACTTGGAAGAGTTGAAGGCAGCTCTTGCTGGACTCAAAAAATTTTTTGTAGCAGTTGCTGAAGCGACATGTGTGGTGTGGTAGCCGATGCCCAGCTGCCACCGAGAGGGCCAGGAGGCGCTTCCAGAGCGCTGTGGTCAAGAAGGTTCTGGCCTTGGGCGGGACGTGGATCCGTCACCCGGGCATTACCTTCTGTGATGCGTCCCTTTACAGACTTGATGGGGTTCATCTGTCTGTAATTGGGAATGATTTGTGGCTGACCTCCATGTCAGCGGGGATTGGTTGCAGGTGTGAGTGGTTGGGGCGAGCGCGGTGCTCGTGTGGCGGATAGGCTCTGGTTCAGATGATAGGGATGGGAGAACGCTCTCGCCATCCCTATGTGAAGGTTATTCTGTTAAAGGAATCCAGGGACTCGATAGTTTGGTTAACCCCTGAGAGGGGGTTGTGCCCGTGCCTGAGTCCAGGGGGACATCTGGGTGGTGGAGATAGCCTGTTCCCGGCTTTCCGCTTATCCAGGTGTTCACCCTAGGTTGATCTATGCTGGTGCCCTGGGTCGGCGCTACCTGCAACGGTGCAGGGAGCTAGTCGAACCAGAGCCTATGCAACCACGCACATGCTGCAATCAATAAAGTTGTGGCAAAAATTCTGTCAAAAACCAAACCAAAATTTGAGTTTATTTAAGGGGAGGTTTTAAAGGTCTGAACACACAACAGGTCCAAGTTATGCTTTTCTTTGGTGTATTTTTATGTGTGTCCAAAGGACTTTACAACTAAAAGGTGTGGAAACTCAACACCATGTCTGTATTCTTTCCCCCATAATTGATTGAGTTCTCTCCATCTGCTGCCTCAGGAGACGCTGGATTTTTGCAGGGCTGGATGACTGATTGGCCAGGCCCTGGAGCTGGAGAGTAAGCCACCTCATGTTCCCCACATTTCTCCACTTCCCCAAGACAATGTAAATGTGCACATGAGGGGGGGGGAATCTATATCTCTAAAGTGCCCAATGAACATTTAGTCAGATAACCATAACAAGCACTTGTGTGCATAGAGAGAAGACTATTGTGAGTATATCAGAGAAGAGATGCAAGCAGCTGCCGTTCCAGAATCTGTGTTTCTGTATAAGAGAGAAGGCAGGAAGAGGCAGATCTTACTCCAAAGCAAGAGCCCTTTCACTGGCTCTCGTTCGTCTGCATGCAGCCCCAGCTGAGTTCGAGTGTCTTCAAAGCCCATTAACCACCATCCATCCTCCAACCGCCTACAGACACTCACACAGGACATTCATTGGTTCTGTTTTAAAGGAGAGGTAGAACTGGGTATCATCTGCATACAGGTGAGCACCCAGCCCAACCCCCCTGATGATCTATCCAAACGGCTTCATATAGATGTTGAAAAGCATGGGGGAGAGGACAGAGCCCTGAGGCGCTCCACAAGTGAACACCCAAGGATCCGAATACTCATCCCCCAACATCACTTTCTAGATGTGGTCTAGGAGGATGGAGCAGAACCACTGCATAACAGTGCCTGCAGCTCCCAACTCCTCTAGACAATCCAGAAGGATACCATGCTCAGTGGTATCAAAAGCCACTGAGAGATCCAGCAGAACAAGGAAATAGCTTTCTCCTCTGTTCCTAGCCTACTGAAGATCATCAACCATGGGAGAGATCACCAGAGGGTTTGGTATAAGTGGGATTGCACCAAAGGAGATGGGAGGAGGCATGGGAGTGAAAACAAGGGTGTGAAATGGGGCTACATAATGTAAGAGAGAACTGGCTCCAGAAATGGAGTTGGGATGGTGAAAAGTGAACTTAGGAGGAAGATCTAGGGCAGCGGTTCTCAACCTGTGGGTCCCCAGATGTTGTTGGACTACAACTCCCATCATCCCTGAGCTCTGGCCTTGCTAGCTAGGGGTGATGGAAGTTGTAGTTCAACAAGTAATGTTAGTTGCAGGGCTAATTGTGCGGCTCTGCTCCTGAGTGACTCCCAAGTTGCTGTACACGTGAATAGTGCACAAACATGGCTCATGAACAGGTATGGACGGGGAAAGTGATTGTGAGAGGAGATCCAGGGGAAAGCTGGGAGGATGGCTCCTCAAAGTGAGGGGTGTGGCTACCACCCCACACAGGTAAGTAATTTGTGGTGACTCTCTGTAGAATGTATTTTTGGAATGGTGGACCCCTCCCTCCTAGACTCATATTTTACTATTTTATTTATATTAGGCATTATTCTCTTTCATATTTGCTTTTGAATTGCTAAATTAGGTTAGCATATTTCTATTGTTTTGTTTGCATTGTACTGTTTCATATAATACTGTATGAATTCATTTTGTTTTCATACTTATTGATATTATGATTTTCCCTATACATTCCTAATATGAATGGTTATACTTATTGATCTGCTTTAGGCACTATTTTGCAGGAAAGTGGCGTACAGATCCACGGATGAATGAATTGTGTGTTACATTCTTCATCACAACTTTCTGTGTTGAAAAGTTTGCAGAATGTTTCCCCCCTCCGCATTTTCCTATGTTAATTGCTTTGGGACCCAGAAGGCCCAAGAAACCACAAGCTGTTAATGATCCACAGGAAACCACCAAGGGGATTGCAGAATCTGCAGAGTATCTGCAGAGTAAAATAAACATCTTTATTTTCTCACTGGGACCTCAGACCTTTGATAAATTGCAAGGAGGAAAAAGCAAGAATGGTGTTCGTCTTCTGATACCATAAATATAGGCAGATGGAGCAGGTGGTTTTGTCTAACCACGGAGATCTTCAAAAATTAGTTGGCGGAGCCCTATACAGGTAGCTTAAGTGTAAGAGCACATGTTTTGCATGTCCAATGCATCTGGCATTAAAGGATCTCCGGTAATAAAAAGACATCTACCTGAGGTCATGGACAGCTGTTGCTAGCCCGAGATGGAAAGATTGCTAGGCTAGATTGCCTATTCATCTAATTCAGCAGAAAGCCATTTCTTTCCATCTCAATCTTATAGACTATGGAACTCATTGGAAATGTGGACTGTCACATGCTTTTAGGGTGCATGGGGTGTTAGTGGAGGGTTGTTAGGGGAGGTGGGGGGACACGTCGTGTTCCTTCTGGGGTAGTTTGTCTACCTTTGGTCCCCACCCTGCACTCAGTTCCCACCTGTGGCTCCTAGAAGCTGTCACTGTCATGTGACAGTGGCTACAACCCAGGAATGGATTCAACTGGCTGGCTATAACAGATGAGGATAGCCGATGGGTCTCATACCCTCAGTGCATTAGGGGCTTCCCCTGCACTTGAAGACAGGCTCTGGTGGATTGAACATACAAGACCAATTGTGGGTCCAATGGTCAAGAAAACAAAGGAGGCGCAGATGGGGCTTGTCAACCTGGGAAGGCAGCTCATCTAGGGGAATGAAAACTCTGATCTAAACTGCCACTGCCTTTCTCATTCATGAGAAAGACTTCAGGAGTAAACCCCGAGGAACAATCTATATTCAATGCCTTGCAGGACATCTTTGAGAGAAGAAAAGGCTCAGGAGTAAACCGTACAGAATTTTGGAATAGAGTCCATAAGATGGTTGGATGACCAGGTGCCTTGTATGCCTCCTTCTGGCGACTCCTGCAGCCTAGCTGGTGCTGAATGTATTGCTCTGCTTCCTTTGGACCACATCAACAAGGCCAAGAAAATGGGGGGTCTTCTAGTCTGGGCAGCCCAGGACCTCCATACACACTGCCTAGGCTTGTGCCCCAGGAGGTCTCTTTGGTGCTGCTAACACAGAAAAACCATGCAGGAAGCAGCAATTGCGAGTTACCAGCCACAGCAGGTGCTGTGATTCTCCAGCAGTTTGACTTCACCCACAGAGGCACAAGAACAACACGAACAACACGAACAACATCCTTTTTGCTCTTTTAACTACAGTGTGAACACCCCTTTCATCAGAAGCCTAGATGTGATCACAAGCAGACTTTGGAATTCCCTACCCAGAGAGCTCCACTTTTCCTTTTCCTTGGTGCTTTTCTCGCATGGTGTAGACACTTCTCTTGGTTGTTAGTAAGGTGAGACTAATGAATGTTTACTGCTCTTCTTACATTTCTGACTTCGATTCCTTGTATCTTCTCTTATGTAATAACGTTTTCATGATTTATTACATTGTGATTGTATCTTTACTGTATTCTTTATGTATAGACATGTTGTTTTTGTTTCTTCATTAAACCACCTTGATCTTTTCGGAAAGGCAGGATATAAATGTTCCCCACTCCCCGTTTTGGTGGTTGGGATGAACTTGTGTTCTTTAGGTCAGGTGTGAGGAAACCTTTGGCCCTCCAGATGTTGCTGAACCATGACTCTCATCATCCCTGACCATTGGCCATGTTTTCTGGGGCTCATATAATTCAACAACATCTGGAGGGCCAAAGGTTTCCCACACTTGACCTAAGACAGAGAGGGAAGTAATATTGTCCAGGATGAGCCACACATCCTGTAGCTCTGGGGTAGCCAATGTAATGCCCTCCATTTGTTGGACTAGAACACCCAGCATTCCTGACCATTGGCCATGCTCACTAAGGCTGATGGAAACTGGAGCCCAGCAACATACGGAGGGTACCATGTTGGCTACCCCAACTTTAGGTGGTATATATCAAAGAAGTTTTAGCTGAGAGCTATAAGTGACATCAAGTGGTGTCATGTCACTTCATCTATTACAGTGGTACCTCAGGTTAAGAACTTAATTTGTTCTGGAGGTCCATTCTTAACCTGAAACTGTTCTTAACCTGAGGTACCACTTTAGCTAATGGGACCTCTCGCTGCCACTGCGAGATTTCTGTTCTCATCCTGAAGCAAAGTTCTTAACCCGAGGTACTATTTCTGGGTTAGTGGAGTCTGTAACCTGAAGCGTCTGTAACCCGAGGTACCATTCTAGGTATCTCCTGTAGCAGACTGATTATTTCAGTCTTTCTTTTTAATCTGTTTTTCATGTTGTTGGGTTGGTACTGCAGTCTAAGAAATGTCTGGCGTAAATCCTTAAGTTGTGAATCTCTGTCTGATGGGTCAGGATAGATGCCGTTGTATTGCAGGACTTAACCTGTAGACAATGGATTTTGTAGTGTGTTTGGGGTGGAAGCTGGAATCATAAAAATATTACAGACTTTCAATAAGAAAGTTTCCAATATAAAATGGTCATTACAGTAGTACCTTGGTTCTCAAATGCCTTGGTTCTCAAACGCCAAAAAGCTGGAATTAAGTGTTCTGGTTTTCAAACGTTTTTCAGAAGCCAAACGTCCGATGCGGCTGTCAGCTATTGTTTCCGGGACACCTGCACCAATCAGAAGCTGCGCTTTGGTTTTTGAACATTTCGGAAGTCAAACAGACTTCCAGAACGGATTAAGTTTGGCACTTTTGTTTTTGCTATTTATTTTGCGGTTTTGTCTTTGATACTTTTTCAGTTAATTTGTTTTTGTGACTGTGTGGAACCCAGTTCAGCTACTGGTTGATTGATTGTGTGACTGTGGAAATGGATTTAAAAAACTACCCATCCAAACAATGACTATAATCACTGCAGGGAAGAATTTTTTAAAACTTTTTTTAATCATCTATGTACGATACTCTCTTATTTATTTTGTAGTTGAGTACATTGATTATTGCTTTCATTTTATGGATCATTAGATAGTAAATTTCATGTTAAATTGCTGTTTTAGGGGTTGTTTTAAAGTCTGGAACAGATTAATCCATTTTGCATTACTTTCTTTGGGAAAGCGCGCCTTGGTTTTGGAATGGACTTCTGGAACAGATCAAGTCTGAGAACCAAGGTACCACGGTATAAGTCCATTACATAGTCTCACAATAGTATCTGTTTTCAGAAATTGCACCTGTTCTGTAAACTGGTACAGGCTCAGGTTGATAGTGGGGATGAATACTGTTGGTTCCTGGTGAAACCAAGTATGTGTATCTCATAGGAGAAAAAACTACACCATCACTGTTTTTTTAAAAGATAATGTGTGCATTCATCCTAACTTCTCTTTGCTTATTCTCTCCATCCATCCATCCATCCATCCATCCATCCATCCATCCATCAATGTAGGGGGAGAAGCCAGAATGGAGGCTGAGAACCTCACTTCTATTACTGAATTCATCTTGGTGGGACTCACCAGCCACCGCAAGACCCAGATTTTGCTCTTTGTGGTCGTCCTCAACATCTATTTGCTTACCATTGCGGGGAACCTGGTGATCATCATGCTTGTTCGGACTGACTCTCACCTCCACACACCCATGTACTTCTTCCTGACTCACCTTGCAGGGGTGGAGATATGTTATGTCACCAGCACTTTGCCCCAGATGCTGTTCAACCTCCTGACCAGAAATGGTGCCATTTCTTTAACATGTTGTGCACTCCAGATGCACCTGGTATTGACCCTGGGTGGCACTGAATGTGTTTTGCTTGGTGCCATGGCCTATGACCGTTACTTGGCCATTTGCCACCCCTTGCTTTATGCCATCCTCATGGGCAGGTGGCGCCAACTGCAACTGGCTTCGGTTTCCTGGCTGGTAGGCATCCTTCTTGCAACAATCAATGTGGGCTGCACTTTCAGCCACCTTTTCTGTGGCCCCAATCGTGTCAACCACTTCATCTGTGAGCTTCCTGTAGTGCTGAAACTTGCATGTGCCAACACTCACATCACTGAGTTTGTGGTTTTCATGACGGCTGCTATCATCCTCCTGGGCCCTCTTTCTGTTATTTTGACCTCATATGGGTTCATTTTGTCTACTGTACTGAAAATGCAGTCAAGCTCTGGCAGGCAAAAGGCCTTCTCAACATGCACCTCTCATTTGATGGTGGTCACCGTGTTTTACGGCACTGTCATCACTATGTACATGAGACCTGGGTTGGGCACAGCCTCTGATTTTGACAAGAAAATTGCAGTGTTTTATATTTTGGTCAGCCCCCTGCTCAATCCTATCATTTACACCCTTAGGAACAAGGATGTCCATAGGGCAGCAGCTAAGGTTCTGCAAAGATGGGGTTTGAAACACAAATGAGTGTCATCACCTTGCTTAAGTGGTCATGTTGACTAAGAGCTGCCAGTTGCCTTTTGGGGCACATGGGACTATTTGTAAAATGGGGAAGCTGTCAGGTAAACCAATAAGACCATCTTATTGCCATTGCATTTGATTCTCAGAAAAATTGGAATTGAAATGTGTGCCACTGCCTCCGTTTGCCAGATCCAGCTCTCAGCCCAGAGGAGTAGATTGGAATGGAAAGACTCAAATAGGCCTTAATTACAGTTGGGGCAGAACTGATGACACAATCTAAGGCTGGATCTGTGTATCCAGCAGAATGAGATGGGGAATGGGATTTGGCTTATACTGGGTCAGTCCAATGGCCAATCTTTATGTATATGAGATCCTGATCAGGGGCAACTCCAAATCATGACAAGAAAATTGCCATCACTTCTCAAGCCAATCATTTACACCCTGAGAAACAAGGATGTCCATGGGATAGTGGCCAAAAGGCTGAAAAGAGGGTCTTGGAAGAAAAGAGTATGGCTGTTGATGTTCTGCTTCAATGTTATTTAAGGGTTGCACTGGTCTGATTCTTACGTTTGGCATTAAAGCAACATATCAAACCTCTGTTCAGCCTTGAAGTCCAGATAGTGGCCTCAGGTATGATGGCTTATATCTCAAGTTGGGGACCTTTTCTGGAATGATAGCATACTCCAACCTCTGCCCTTTGGGAAGCGTTGGGCAAAGAAGGGAAGGATATTAGCTCAGTGGCAGTAGCTCATGTTTTCCACACACAAGTTCAGCCCTGGGTATTTCCAGTCATAGCTGGAACCCTTGAGAGCTACTGCCAGTATGGCTTAGAGCAGCCTTCCCCAACCTACCATGCTTCCGATGTTTTGGAGTCCAACTTCTATCAACATATCCAATGGTAAAGGAACTGGAGAGACCAGGTTTGGTAAAGCTTTCTGCAAAACTTCTCCCTGATGGATGTGGCAGTTCTTTAAGTGCTGCCTGTCGATCAGAGCCTACCTGGGTTAAAGGTAAAGGTAAAGGGACCTCTGACCATTAGGTCCAGTCGTGGCCGACTCTGGGGTTGCGGCACTCATCTTGCTTTATTGGCCGAGGGAGCCAGTGTACAGCTTCCGGGTCACGTGGCCAGCATGACTAAGCCGCTTCTGGCAAACCAGAGCAGCGCACGGAAACACCGTTTACCTTTCCGCCGGAGCGGTACATATTTATCTACTTGCACTTTGATGTGCTTTCGAACTGCTAGGTTGGCAGGAGCAGGGACTGAGCAATGGGAGCTCACCCTGTCATGGAGATTTGAACCACAGACCTTCTGATCGGCAAGTCCTAGGCTCTGTGGTTTAACCCACAGCGCCACCCGCGAGAACCCTTAAAAGATGGACTGCTGCCAACACTGCCACTTGTCCCTTAACCTTCATCTGACATGCAATGCTTCTTTTGTTTCTTGCGAGGAGGCCAGAAGCCTGTTTTAAGGCACTGCAATAGGATACGTAGACATGAAGTAAATTGTTTTCTTTATGTTCTTAAAGCATCATTCTCCCAATTCCCTTTTGGAACTTAATAAACTTCTTCACATTGACAGGTATGGTTCTCTGTGTTTTTTTGCCAGGCTTAAAGGGTCACTACCCTTTCACACAACTAGTATTTGGTTTCATACTTCATATCCACATCAGTGGGGAAAATCAAGCCAGGCATAAAATGTTATAGTTGCTGACTGGAAGTTAAGGGTTGTGCACTGATCAGAATGGAAAGTGTGGCTCTTATAAAAGTTTGGCAGGCACAAATGGTATTGAAAGTGGGAAATATGTGATCACTCCAAAAACCTCATGAACGCAAATCATCATGGATGTGACATAAAATGATATCTGGTAAGGCCCTAACTCTTAGCTTAATCTACCTCACTGGGTAGTTGGTAGTTCAAAAGAGATGAAATGTATGAAAATGAGACTGAAGATTCTGCCTGATTAGAAGAGAGTCCATATGGATGCAAATAATGTATTTATTCCTCTTCATGCTCCTCCCCATTTGCTAAGAAATTATTAAATATTTATGTATATGAAAAACATAGGAGAGGGGGGCCACTAGGGGCGCATCGGAAGATGGCTGACAATAGCATCTCTCCGACCCACACGAGGTAATTAGGAGGCTGTGATGGGAGTAAATAGCCTCCCTACCCCCCCAAGGTTGTGGGGGGGGCTGCCCTTGCCTGCTGTGCCCTACACCACCCCCAAATTTGTGGGGATGGGGGCACTAGGCAGAAAGCCCTCCTGTGGATCTCGGCGCTCCTGGACGCTGTCTCTGATCCGCGCCTCTAGCTGCAATAACTTCAAAAGAAACAATTAGGAGGAAGCGAATGCACATATTTCAAGGAAGGAGGGGGAGTAAAGACTGCTAACTGAAGAGATCTCTGATAAACAAGGCGGGTTGGAGGAACAAGAATAAATCATGAGAAGATCACCAAGGCTCGGTATGGCAAAGGGACTGGATGGGGGAGGGGGAAAAAACTTTCCTTTCTTTCCTCTATGTGATTAACCAAGAACCCCCCCCCCCCCAAGTCAGGAATGCCGTTTTAATGACTTAAGCTGTGGATTTATGTCTGTGTGGAGATAATTTTCTAACCAAAGCATGTTTCAAGAAGATCGTGAAAGTATAAGAGCTTTGGAATGACGCAGTTAAAAATACCGTCGCCATGTTGGCAAGTTCTGTCAGAGGACTTAAGTCTGGGAGGAGGAACAGAGCTGTTTTTATATTGTGGGTGAGACTCCTCAGAGGGACTTAAGAGCGACAGATCTGCGAGATTAATGATGGAAAGAGCGATGTTATTTATGAAAGCAATGATATATGGAAACCATCTTGATATGAGGATTGGACGAACGGAAAATTCACACAGGATTACAATTGGTGTTTATCTGCTTAAGGAGATTATCTGAAGAGATCATAAAGAAAAAAAAAAATATACGAACAAGATGAGATGTGGAAACAGCAAGATAAGACTGGATAGAATTATGAACATTATTTGGACTGATTCGGATATTAACGCAGTAGCAAGAAGATGATCGGAATCCCCCTTCGGAACTTGAAATATGGGTCCCCTCAACAAAAATTTAAAATTCGGCTTTGTAATTTGGAATTTATGTGACGTGATTTGATTTGATTGGTCGGCTAATAAAAATTATTTTTTTAAAAAAGAAAAGAAACATAGGAAATGCACTGTGAATACTTTTCAGTATGCATGCAACATAATTTGCTTAAAAACAATGATCCCTACTCAAACGCTTTCCTGCTTTGGAATGTACACAATTTCACTTGTAGGCTAAAAAAATGTAAATTATTGCCTTTTTTTATTTCCATCATCTTTGTTACCTGTTTCAAAGAGCCTTCTTCCATTTTTGTATTTTAACTGCTTGCAGCCCAAGAGAGAAGGGACTATTACAAATCCTGAAGAAATCTCCAAAGGAATCTGAGGAGTCTCTGTGGAGTAGACTCACAGTCTTCATTATTGTACCGAATCCTCAGTCTCTTGATGTGTTCAAGGGGAAACAGCAACAACAGCCACCACCTAACACTTAGAACAGGGAGTTGAACAAGCCAGATGATGTTCATTCTCCCATTTAAAGCATTAAAAAAATTGGCTGGGGGAGCACCTGTCCAAATGGATTGGAAAGCAGGAGTTTAGTGGAAAGGCACATGCCTTGCAGGTCTAAGATCCCTAGCATCTCCTTTAAGTGGCAATAGGTCATTTGTCTGGAGATTGGCTGCCAGTCGAGATAGCCAATGCTAGACTTGAGCAAACACCTCACAGGTAGGGCAGTAGAAGACGCTTCAATCAAATTTGCAACACCACAGTTATTTGATGGACCAGTGATCTAACTTGGTGCAAAGTAGCTTTTCTCCCAACTCTAGAGTTCAGAGACTCTACTTTAAAAATCTGGGCATCACGATTTCCTTCCAACCTCTTCCCAGTGGAGACTCTAACAGACAACAAGCTAAGGGTCAGTAGCATCCCTGATGTATGTGCTACATATGTTTCTTTGGTGTGATTCCCAGTGTACTTAAAGATCAGAGTAGCTTCAGACAGTTCTTGCCACTTTAAAGCTAGTAAAATCTAGATTTTCCCTGCCTCCTCCTATTGGAGGGATTAGCCATGAGAAGTATGGCCACCACGATTGTGCCACAGGCATCCATTTCAAAGCAGCACAGAGAAGACCTCCAGCAATAGCCCCTTGACATTGCAATATCCGTCTTTGTGAACCTTCTATATGTTGTGTTAGAGGCTTGACCCTAACTCAGCCAACTGTTGTACGACTTGACATAAACTCACCACATCAGGAACATCTGGGAACAGCATGAAGGTAAGATTATATTCTGCAATTGGAGGGGAGAAAAGGAACTCATTTCACTGTTTAAGATGAAATTTACCTGCTTGGTAGTACTATCTGCTTCAGAATTCTATGATTCTAGTCTGTCTTGTATGATCTAGTTGTGATTCCTGCATTTCAGGGGGTTGGACTCTCATGGTCCCTTCTAACTCTGCAATTCTATGATTCTTGGGTATGTCACTAATGTTAATATTTTCCACCTTGAAAGCTTGTTACTTTCAATTAGTGCTGAATGAAAGGGGTGTGTGATTTGTTCGGACATGCAACTTTTCATCTTCCCTTTTGTTTTCACCTTCAGGAGGGTTCTAAAAAGATATCCTTCTATTCAGTTTCTCAGTTTTCACTTATTTTCACTTCTTGTGAGAGAGACAACATGCCTCAGTGCAAATCTCAAGGAAATTAACTTTGGAATCCTCTCATAATCCTGTTTTGTTCTCACTTCTCTTTTTCCATGTGAGAAACTGGTGATTGGTGCCCATTAAGACTCTTAGGGCAAAAGGTAGGGAGGGCAATGCTATATGGAGCCAGGGCCAATGACAGGCAAAGCCAACTAATTCCAGTTTTGTTCCACCCTTCTCTCTTCTGCATTCAAGGAAGAAGCTGACAGGTGGTGCAATCTGCTAGGCTGGT